CAATGACAGGCAAAGCTCTCTCCCATTCTTACCTAGAGATGCCAGGGATTGAACTTGCTCTGCAACTGAGATGTTCCACCACTGAGCTGTGGCCCTCCTTCATTGCCAAGAAATAGAAAGTTCTTCCTGGAAAATCCTGGCTAAGCTCCACAACTTTGCTCCACATGGAATCTGCTCTTTCCTTTTCCTTCCTAACCACCAAATTGCTCTTTCAGGTAGTAAACCAATCAGAATCTTCCGAGAACTCGACCATCCGATTAAACTAAACTGATTTCTTCTGAATAACCTTCCAGCAAACAAGGGATTCTGGCGAGTGCACATTTTATCAGATTAAGGTCATTCTTCTCATGAACACACCGAGGCCTGATTCCCGATTACAGACAGCTTTGATAATTTTTTAAAAACAAACAAACATTTTAGAGAGGTTCACTGTATCTATGAACCAACTAGTAAGAAGAAATCTCATAGAAAACAACTTTAAAAACAAACAACAACAACCAAATATATCTTCGTTCAAAATATACCGTATTTTTCGCTCTATAAGACGCACCAGACTACAAGACGCACCTAGTTTTTGGAGGAGGAAAACAAAACAAAAAAAATATTCTGAATCTCAGAAGCCAGAACAGCAAGAGGGATCGCTGCGCAGTGAAAGCAGCAATCCCTCTTGCTGTTCTGGCTTCTGGGATAGCTGTGCAGCCTGCATTCGCTCCATAAGACGCACACACATTTCCCCTTACTTTTTAGGAGGGAAAAAGTGAGTCTTATAGAGCAAAAAATATGGTATTTGCTAAATGCCATGGAATTTTTCTGAGCAAGGAAAGGGTCAAAGAGTTCCAATAAGGGTATTCTCCACTTTTAATATCCTGGCTCCTTTGAGCCACCCCAATCCCAGATCCCTTCACCCAGCACATCCTAGCTCCCCTCACCCTCACACACAAATCACCTCCAACTGTCCCCATAAGCAAAGATGGGTCCTCTTCCCTAGTCCTTGTACATGATAGATCACTGTCCTTATTCCATCCTTATTTTGCCCATTGGGGATACTTGTTAGTTTTGTCATAGTGCTTAGTATAGTGGTATCTCTGGATGTGAACGGGATCCGTTCCGGAGCCCCGTTTGCATCCTGAAGCGAACGCAACCCGCGTCCGCGCATGCACGTGACATCATTTTGAATGTCTGCGCATGCGTGAGCGGCGAAACCCAGAAGTAATGCGCTCCATTACTTCCACATCGCCGTGGAGCGCAACCCAAAAAGGCTTAACCTGAAGCGACTTCAACCCAAGGTATGACTGTATAGTCATTTCCCTCAGGGTCTCTAGAAATCAAAGGTAGGGTGTGGGTGTACGTGATTGTACACACTTATGCACCTTGTCTATATGCACATATGTGAGCACTAAAGCTCCATACTTTTGGTCCTTAGTATGAAAGGTTTTTAAGTATTTGTGGCCTCTTTTTGGGTGGGTCAGGATCTGCTAGACCTGTCTTTTATTTACATGGACGTGTGTTTGTTTTTTAGGTTTTCATCAATTGTGTTTATTGCAATTGGTCTTATTACTTCAATGAGATTTGTAAGTCACTTTTACTTTAATGAGTAAAGCGAATAAATAGTAACAACAACAACAACGTGCACAGCCAGTCATTTCACAGGCTGCAACTGCTGAGGCATGTTTTGAGCTTTCGCAAGCCTATTTTAGGACAATTATATTTTCCTAGCATATCATTATCAAAAGAATTTGCACTGTAAACTAGTGGGAGGCAGGGCTATTTAGGAATGAACGGATACAACAGGCAGAGTACGGTGATGCAGCTAAGCAATTTTACTTCGAAATGTGGTATGCTAGTTCTGCATATCTCCTGTGGGGGACCCTCCTGCTATGTGGGGCCCTGGACTTCTGCCCCAAAGGCCTGACAGCACCGCTAGTTGAGCAATAAGTAACAAGGATGCTGTGGTCCTTGGTTTTCAAGACCCATTTCAGTGGCTGGGATGTTTTAGTCCTGCCTCTTAAAACAAAGTCATGAGTTTTAGATTTTATTCTGTTTTAGTTTTATGCTGGTTTTAAAGTATGTGTTATTGTTATAGATTTGGGGGGGGACCCCCTAAATCCTATAAATTAATAAATTACTTGTTTGCACTACGGAAGGGGAAATTGCAGGCCAGTGGAAAAATATAGGCTAAGCTTCCTTTCCAAGCCAGTGCCTCACCTGGGATAGAGGTGTTTAACTACACCTCAGTTAAAATTGTCAGGGTGTTTTTTTGTTTTTAAAGAACAACTTCTGCCATGTCATCAATTCTCCAAAGGGTCACAGATACTGGTAGAGCGCCTGGACCCTACTGGAATCTAGCTACCGCTCGGCTGAGAGTGGGGGTGTGCCCAACTTTTGTTACATTATAAGTTGCTTTGACTTACATTTTTAGGGGGGAAAGCAATTACCGTATTTTTTGCTCTATAAGACGCACCAGACCATAAGACGCAACTAGTTTTTGGAAGAGGAAAACAAGAAAAAAAAGATTCTGAATCCCAGAAGCCAGGACAGCAAGCGGGATCGCTGCGCACGCAGCCTCTCCTGGGCAAGGGCAACAACAACAACAACAACAACAACAACAAATTAATAAATAAGTTCTATGAAACAGTGTATTTCTAAATGAAAAACATGTATTTTGTGGTTTTATATTTTTGATTTTATTCTGTGAACCGCCCTGAGACCTCCAGGAATAGGGCAGGATAATAATAATAATAATAATGGAAAGTTTTCTATCCCACTCCTCTTATGGCCAGCAATAGTTAATGCCAGAGTTGGAAGCTGCTGCCAATTCACCCCTAAATATGTCCCCCTAAATTCCTACTGTCACTGCACCCCTAAGGATGCCACCCCCCCCAGTTCATTTATGGAAGCATGAGCTAAACATCAGATCGACAATTTTGTGACTGCTGCTTTAATTGTAAAAACAGCAGCTGCCCTCAATCTCTTTTAGAAAAAGTCCTGGCATAAGAGCAGCAGGGATGTTCCAGCTCAGGAATGAGCTGTATTATCATAGCTTTGTGGTCAGCATTTATTCTGAAAAGCCGAATGCTTTATTCTCTCAGTTTCATCAGCATAGCATTAGGGGCAGCAAGGGGGGGGCGGGGGAGAGAGAGGACATGATGGAGCGATGGTTTCTTAATTTTTTGCACAGTATATTGTACACTTGCAACCAGAATTTCTAAATAAAAGCAGAGAAAGGGCTTGCTCAGAGTAATTTTCAAAGCTTTAGATTCACATTTATTAAAAGCCACATAGAAATACTTCTACTTAATAGCCAGAGTGTGCTTGTCTCTCCCTCCATGTCATTCTCTGCTACACATAGTTACGATGTGTAGACTTTTGCTTGTATTTATACAAAGCAATTGGATGGGGTGTGATGTTCTCTAACGTTGTCATTTTGGGCCAAGCAGGTAATATTAAATGTGAGAGACTAGGCATGCCATTATGCAACTTATTTCTCATGTAGGCCCTTCTAAATTTAAACTATATTCTGGTCCCTCCCTCCAACTTTCCGCTTCATAGATGAAGGAACATCTCCACTGCACACAATGGAGTGAGATAGAGAAACCACAGAGAGAGCTCTCAGTACCAGAAGTGCTATTTCCAGGCAAATTCAGGGCATTTGGATATGGACTGGATTGTTGTAGGGAGGGAGGTTGAGTTAGGTGACGGTGACAGCGATTCCGTGTCAATGTCAAGGCAGTTTTAGACATTATTTATTGCTCAGGCAGGAAGGCAGTCAAAGGCTCAGAGTTAAGGGCAGAGACACTTTCTGTTGCTGACTCAACAAAAAGGCTACAGCCCTTCAGACACACAACTCCTTCAGAGCAAAGAATGCGGCAAACTGACTCTGTGGCACACAACATAGTTCCTGTCCCGACAAATTACCAGGGCAGCTGAATCAAAGTTAAATGGCAGGAACAGAATTATATTGCATCTTTGAGAAACAAGAGGGTGGAAACAAATGTAGGATTCACCCCACTCCCACTTGAAGCCAGGTCTGCCGAAAGTGAGGGCTCGCCCAAACTTCTGCTCGTCGCGCTGCTTTCTCCTAAGGGAACCTGCTCTTTACCACTGAATAAAAAAACCCCATCAGTTGGGTTTCCCACAGATTGATGTTCGTTCCAATTCAGCAGTAAAGAGCACAAATTCCTGGGGAAAGCAGCATGGCCAACAGACCTGGGCTTAGAAAGCACAGAACAAACAGAAAATCTCTCAGCCTCGTGCTTTCTAAACTAGAAGCAAATGGAAGTACAGTGGTACCTCGGGTAACATACGCTTCAGGTTACATACGCTTCAGGTTACAGACTCCGCTAACCCAGAAATAGCACCTCGGGTTAAGAACTTTGCTTCAGGGTGAGAACAGAAATCGTGCTCCGGCGGCACGGCGGCAGCAGGAGTCCCCATTAGCTAAAGTGGTGCCTCAGGTTAAGAACAGTTTCAGGTTAAGAACGGACCTCTGGAATGAATTAAGTACGTGACCAGAGGTACCACTGTATGGATGAGGCCATGCAACCTGATGTCTACTACTGACTGGGAAAAAGCAAGCGCTAATCAGAACCGGCATCAGGGGTTGGCATGGCTTAGCACCTGCCATGGGCCTCAGGGCTTGGTAGAGCCCCACCAGGGTCCTGATCCGTATCACACACATACCACCCCCCATAATGCTAATTGTATAAATGGTGTCTTGTCTAGTTTGGCCCTGAAGCAACGCAGTGCAGTTGTGGATGAGGCACAAATGCTCACTGCTCATGAGCAATTGCTCTGACTTCTTAGCCATTGCATGGCACCAGCTGTGGAGCATCTCCTGCCCTGGCCCAAATAGTGGCGGATCAGTGCCACAGCAGTCCTTACACAGTACTGTGGAGGAACTGCCTCATACTCTGAAAGGCAACCCAATGTACTTTTGGGAGGCTTTCTTGTTCTTTATAGAAGAACAACAAACCTTAGCATTTGTAAGGAGGACTACTTACCATCCTGTTAGTAAAGTTTCCGAAATCATCCTTCAAGATATGCTTGATCATCTCTGGCTCAGATACCACAATGTACATACGACGACCCATGTAATACCTGCACATGAAATGGAAAATTGTATTAATAATGAACAGAATTGTGCTTGGCCATCTGTTTAGAAAAGCTACCATTTCAGACAGGTCCACTCTCCTAACCAATAAGGTAGACTTTCGGAGGGATTTTTAATCTGCCTTACTCAACTGCAGGGCTCTCAATCAGTCAATTATTCAAATACTCTATTTGGGTGGACAGGCGGAGTCCCCAGATCCCCCGCGGTCCCCCCGTCATGTGGAAAAACGACTCGAGACAACGTGCTATGGGATTAAATTGGCCACAACTTTATTAAATTTCAAATGTGGGTAGACCTTGGCTCAGGCATTGGGCGTTCTCCCTCCCCAGTCCGCAGCCGGGGACCTAGGGAGCATCAGGGTTATCCAGTGTGGGGGGGGGGATGGGCCGGCTCTGGAGAACATATGTTCAAGCAGAGATAGCCGCCCCCATTACGCCGCCGCCGCAGGGGAGAGCAATGACAACCTTTCGGTGCACGGCCAAAGCCTCCCTTCAGAAACCCCTTTAACGGGGAACCCTGGTATCGCCGCCGCAAAGAGGAAGATGGACTAAAGGATTCCGCCCAAGGCCTGATACCGCCACCCGAGACCGCAGCTCTGGAGCCAAGTGAGGATTCCCAGGTAAGATCCTCCCTCTATTGTGTGGGCAGGTAGTCACTCCCCTACCTGGCCTGGTCTCCTTGGCAACGCTTCCCCCAGGTGGGATTGGGCAAATGACTGAGGTAGGCAGAGACCTCCAGGTATCCCACCTGAGGGAAGGCAAGGCCAAGCCTATGCTGTTGGAGCCGCTCCAGATCTAGGGGCTGCACGCGTCCACGCAAAGGGCGCCCCCCGTTTTAAGCGGGGAGCGGTCATTCCTCAATAGTTGTCCTGTTTTCAATCATCCACAAAGGGTTCTCTTTTAGGAACATAGGAAGCTACTGGGCCAGACCACAGGTCCATCTATTTCCTACACTGACTGGCAGCAGCTCGCCAAGGTTTCAAGTAGGGTTTTTCTCCCTGTTCTACCTGGAGATGCCAGAGATGCTCTTTTTTAGAGTGAGGATCAAACCTATCCATTCTTAAGGAAATCAGCCCTGAGTGCTCACTGGAAGGACAGATCCTGAAGTTGAGGCTCCAATACATTGGCCACCTCATGAGAAGATAAGTCTCCCTGGAAAAGACCCTGATGTTGGGAAAGATTGAGGGCACAAGGAGAAGGGGACGGCAGACAACGAGATGGTTGGACAGTGTTCTCAAAGCTACTAGCATGAGTTTGACCAGACTGCAGAAGGCAGTGGAAGACAGGAGTGCCTGGCGTGCTCTGGTCCATGGGGTCACGAAGAGTTGGATTGAACAGTATACCAACTCATGACATAGACAAACACACAAAGGACTCTACCAAATAAACAAGACTTCAACACAGTACAACACCCCCTCCCAAATTCTAGCAAGATTAAAATTAGGGCTACATGAGGAAATGCGGCAATAATTTGCACCCAATACACTCTCACACTGCAGTCAGTGGGTGGAAATATTAATCTGCCACAGATGCTCCCTTAGCAGCATTTCAGAGGGATGAAATTAACTTTAACGGACAACATAAAATGAAACTCTTTATGAAAACCTGAATCACATTATGTTTATTTGGATCAAAATGTATTGGAACTAGCAAATTGGTTGCACATTTCCACTCATCGCCCGTAATAGATCTTTCTGAGGACGGTGACAGCCTACAATGAAGTTAAAAGCTATTCTGTTGTACTTGAGTCATAGGATCTTCCGGTGTCATCATGATGAATTCAGTTATTTAACAGGAAGGTGTTGAGTTTGTGGGAGGGAGGGGGGGATAAGGATGAAAACAGAAAACCCACTGAAGCACAAATAAATTAAAAATATACAGGTAAAACCAGTGAAATTGCTTTTATGCAAGGTTTGATCTTCATTTGAGGAAAGATGTATTGGGGGGATCCAAAAACATAAGGTAGCAAGCACTCTCTTTCACCTCCAACGATGACTGCTTGTCTAATTTCTCTGTTATGTGCATTTACATTTTCCCTTCCCTTAACAGAAAATTAAAAAGCAGCTGACATGCAGAAAGCGTTTGGGGATGAAACCCAGACAGAGTCGTCATGATTTTTTTGGAGAGTGTTTTTTTTTGTGATCCCGCCTCCCCTCTGCATCTCCCCCCCCCCAATTTGTTTCAGAAGGTTCGGGGATGCTCTTGCAGATTTAGCAGGAGGATTGCGAGTTCCTCCTTCCTCATAGCACCTGATCAATCCGCCGTCTTACTTTTTCTGTATCAAAGGTTTCCAACAGTTTGTTGCAAGTAGATTCAATTATTTTTTTTGTACCCCCAAGTGGGTTTTTCCCAATTTCAAATAGAGTTGTCATTCCTAGTAGTTTCCCAGGTTTGTTGGCAAATAGTATTCAAATTTATTTATTTATTAGTAATCCCCCCCAAAAGTGGGATTTTCCCCCCCCAAAGACCACAACACACTTCTGCTGCAATTAAGAAGTTTTATTTATTCATATCCTGCTCTTCAATTAGCTCATATATACTGATTCTTTCTCCCCCTGCCCCCCCCCCCATATTACTGCCTTTAGGAAACGCACCATGTTCTGTAGGATTGGAACATACAGATTTGAGTGTGAATAAATGACTATACAAAAAGTAAATAATTCCGGATCAATGACTTAATACATAATCACAGTGAAGAAGCTCTTGGGGGAATAAAGACAGAATGTTTCTTAATGATGTTGGACCGGAAGAAGACTATGGTTGACTTTAATTCATAATAATATTAATAAATTAGGTGGTGGTGAGGTGGGCCCCAGCCAGGTGCGCAGGCAAGGACGGGGGCGCAAAATCGGCTAAAAATATGTCCATAAATATGTCTGTAAATAAAAATATTGATTATTGTCTCATAAGAAAAGGTTTTAAATAGAGGGTGAACTGAATGGGGGGGTGGGATGGAGGAGAGGCAGAAAGAAGAGCTAATTTGTCAGGGGCTAAGGGGCGCAACCTGGACAGTTCTGCCGGGGCGCAAGATGACCTGGCTACAGCTCTGATTGCGAAAGGCCTTAATAAAATCTTATTTAAGAATGCAAAAATAAATAAATAAAAAGGACACACAACATGTTTCATGGCTGAGGGAATATTTCGGGAACCTCCCTCCCTCCCTCTTTCTCTCTCTCTCATCCTAACCATAAAAGCATAGAAAGAGCCTGCTGCATCAGGCCAGTGGCCCATCTATTTCAGCACCCAGTAATTCCACATTGTCATTCCACATACAGAACCAGCCCATCAGCCAGCGAAGAGATTTATCTGAGGTATAACCACGTATAGTGTGAAACATAGAAGGGAATGGCTGGTTTGGACACCTGGAACTCTTGGTGGTAGAAGATGCAAGGCCGTTGAGATCTGCACTGCTGTGGCTGAGATCTATGAAAGACCATGCAGTTAACACGCACGCACACATACACACACACACACACACACACACACACACGTCAAATTAATTGGTGGTGCAAGGAGGATGCCGAAATTGTTCTGCCCAAAACTGTTGTGATATATAAAAGCAACAGTGTTATACAGAGCTTTAAGTCTAAAAAGCCAGAGGGGCCTATGAGCTCACCAGTTCTTTCTCTTTGGCTCTAGAGGGAGCCAAAGAGATTTTGTTCCCACAAACCAGATTGCTGGGATAGCTTTCTTGTGGGTAAAGCAGGTGATACTGTTCGAAGGGTTTCAAATAGATGCAGCTTTATCATACAAACTCCCAACTGTCCCTGTTTACCAGGGCGAGTACCAAACAGGTGCTCTGAGCCACCACACACACCCCAATATCTTTATACCTGTCCCTCCCTGGGTGACCACTATGCATACTTTTGCCACGTGGTGATCATTCTCAAATTTAGTGCAGATTGCTCCAGCTGTCATTCCTCAAGGCCAAAGTTCCTTCCTCAGGGTTGTCTTGAAGCTAAAACCTCCGCATAAGGAGGGATTATACCTTATGTTCGATGCCAGCACGTGTGAACAAACACACTAATGCCAGGCCCAGCCTGCCAGGCCTCACACAGATGTCTATTTTGAACAGTTAAATAAGCTATTTTAAGGCAATTGTGTTTTTCCTAATATATCTTTAAACAAAAGTTAAAGCAGCCTCCGATGCTTTAAAATTGGTGGCAGGTAGCCAGTGGCAGACTTCATGAGTACAGCAGCCTAGGCCAACCTTGTTCCCCTCCAGTTGTTGTTGGACTACAACTCCCATCAGCTCCAGCGCTGGCTAGGGTTGGCAAGAATTGTGGTCTAACTACATCTGGAAAGCACCAAGCTCGAAAAAGCTGTTGTACATCTAACAAAAGACACAGAAGATCTTTAGAAATGTGTGTGATGTGAGGGTGGGGGGTGGGGGGGAGGTTTGGTATGAGAATTAGGGCGTTGAAATGTATGTCCCTACTATCATCTGTGAAATATTAAAGGGAATGTTATTATTGCAAAAAATGTGTATGTTTTAATGTTTTCAATAATGTTTCAAAGGTAGCCCAGAGGCTTCAGGCAACGTATTACACCGGATCGCCGGATAAGTAAGGAAATCTCATTTTAATAAAATTTTATTAAGATTTTCCATTTAGTCCCTTTTTTTCTAGAAAATCAGTTGCTGTTTTCATGCAGCAGTGATATTTGCTACAGTTCGGCCTTTCCCAGTTTGTGCTCAACTCAAAAGCTCTTTTCCCAAACCTTCGCCTTTAGGGGGCTTCAGTGGGCTGGAGCTGGGGGTGGACATCTCAGGGGTCAGAACTGAATGTGCTGCCTCTGCTAGGGTCCCTGCCTTTTTCTCTCTCCCCTTATTGCAAGCAAGCTGATGGAGAGACTGTCCTCTCCATTGACTTGCATCTACTGTCTACATAGGTGTGCAGATGCATGGTATGAAGGTGATTTTTAAAGAAATGGACTCTTTAAGCACCATCTGCTTCCCATGCTGTGTGATAAAGAAATATGTTACAGTA